CCAAGAAGAATGGGAAACAAGAACATCTGATCCAAGGAAAAGTAATGGGTAGCTCTGAATTCCCTGAATCAAGATCCCTTCAGCAGGATCTCCATCTGAGAGGGGAATCATCTGAAAAATTACCCTGGAGGAGGAGCGAGGGGGTTACACACACGGGCATAACACTGAAGAAATGTTGATGGTATGATGATGTAGCTGCTATTGTAGCACATCTTGTAGAGAAAATATGTCAGGAAAAACAGTGAAGATAATCAGTCGCCTCAGTGGCATTTCAATAGACCCGGGGATTTATTTAATTTTCATCTGTTTGTCTGAGTCACGTCACTAACGACTTGGATCATGACTAACTTATTTTCGTGGTGATCCATATAATCTTTTTATGTCTGGAATTTCTTTAGTACCTTCCTGCATAAAAACTGAGAGCAAATAAGCGTTGAAAATTCCACAATATAAATTAAACTATAAAGTGAAGTAGATATACGTATTAAATTTCAGAAATATAAATGCTGGGTCTGCATAACTATTACAACTCCTACTAACACGTAGTCGACACTGACACGTGATCAACATTAACAAGTGGTCGACACTAACACGTGGTCGACACTAAGACGTGGTCGACACCAACAATTGGTCAACACTAACACGTAGTCAATTCTAACACGTGGTCAACATCAGCACATGGTCATTGCTAAGAAGTGGTCAACACTAATACATGGTCAATACCAACACGTGGTTAATACCAAAATGTGGTCAACACCAACACGTGGTCAACTAGCTGAAACAATCAGTAAATAATAATCTAAAATAATGTATATTTCCTTCCCATACATTAACACGTGTCACGAGTCTTAAACAAACACAACACAACGCTACACAATATACATCACAACACTACACAATATACATCACAACGCTACACAATATACATCACAACGCTACACAATATACATCACAACACTACACAATATACATCACAACACTACACAATATACATCACAACACTATACAATATACATCACAACACTACACAATATACATCACAACACTACACAATATACATCACAACACTACACAATATACATCACAACACTATACAATATACATCACAACACTACACAATATACATCACAACACTACACACAATATACATCACAACACTACACAATATACATCACAACACTATACAATATACATCACAACCTACACAATATACATCACAACACTACACAATATACATCACAACACTAACAATATACATCACAACACAATATAATCACAAATACAAATACATCACAACCTACACAATATACATCACAACACTACACAATATACATCACAACACTACACAATATACATCACAACACTACTACAATATACATCACAACACTATACAATATACATCACAACACTACACAATATACATCACAACACTAACAATATACATCACAACACTACACAATATACATCACAACACATAACAATATACATCACAACACTAAACAATATACACTCACAAACACTACACAATATACATCAAACAATATACATCACAACTACACAATAACTGAAACACTAACAATTACTTACAATGCTGTGCTACACATGTAATTACACGGTAAATTAGGATCACTATGTAAATATACATACAATACAAATATTACACCAAAATAACAATTCTGAACACTAACAAATACAATATATTTCATTGTTTATGTTTAGTATACAATAATTAGTAAAACAAATTATAAATATATACATGGTATACTAAAATAAATATACTCTTTTATAACAAGTTATAATTTTCTAATTACACATTTGGTGCAAAATTACAAATTTATTTAACATTACACATTAATGACAAACAAATATAATCTCTAAACTATAAAAAATTTGTAAAGGACTCTAATTTATCAAACATGATCATATCTAATTGACCATTTACATTCGGCAACATATATATATATATCATATAAATATAATAATAATATATATGAATATATATATAATAATATATATATATATATATATATATATATATAATAATATATTATAAATTAGAACACATGTGCAAACTCCTGGGTATCATTATTGAGAAAATTTCGCCACACAGTGTGCGAAAACTTTCCAATAAAGTACCCAAGATATGACATGTCTAACTATCAACAATTCGTTCATCTGAAACCATTCATCACAACCTACAATTATTAATACAAACTAACAATATAATATAATACAATATATAATAATAGCTAATATATACATAATAATAAAATATAATAATAATAACAATAAGATCACAGTAAACAGGTGATTTCAGAATATGCAAAACAACACACTCTGAAAATAGAGAAATTCCAAACGCTTATCGATGATACTCACATTACATGAACTAGAAAGTAAAGCATCCAAGGAACTATATAAAGGGTCTGGCCAGCACCTCACTATCAGATCCCACAACGGTTAACACCTGACGCGCGCCGACCCAACTTGGATAGGTCCTTTGCACAACTCACCCACAAACTATTCTACCCAAGAAAATTTAAAAATTATTATTTGTCCAGTGTATTATTAAATTCTTCCCAAATTCTGTTAATTATAAATGGATCTAATTTATATAAACCAAAGGAAATATTCATATTATTGTCAAAACTGCTTTTTATGAAACAAAATTCAATTATATTCCTGTCGACCATGGACTTGATACTACTTTCTCAACTTTATGAAAATCAATTGGATGGTTAAAATCTCTTACATGAATAAATAGAGCATTGGAATCTTGTCCAGTTCTAATGCTATATTTATGTTGTTTTAATCTTAGTTCGAGATTTTTACCAGTTTGACCGAAATAAACTTTATCGCAAATTTTACAAGGAATTTTATAGACACATCCATCAGCATTTTGGGGGGAATTCTTTATCAAAAGTTTTTTTACTGTATCAAGATTTTTGAATACAACTTTAATATTAAAAGTCTTAAGAAGAGAAGGCAAATCAACCAAGTTTTCATTGTAAGGGAGAACCAACATATTTTTAGTTGAATAAGGCTGGTTGTCCCTTTTTGGATTGTAAAAAGTATTTCTAGCAACTTTAAAAGATTTATCAATTACATTTCTTGGGTATTTTAAATCATTACCTATTTCATAAATTTTGGATATTTCCTCATCTATGAACTCAGGACTACAAATTCGTAAAGCTCTCAAAAACACTGATGAGAAAACAGACAGTTTGACTCTATCTTGATGCGAGGAATAATAGTGGACATAGGAACAGTTATTTGTAGGTTTTCTGTAAATTTTAAATTTGAATTCATTATTACCCTTAATAATTAAAACATCTAGAAAAGGCAATGAGTTATTTTCTTCAAACTCAACAGTAAAGTTTATAGAATGGGTTAAGCTATTTAATTTTCCAAGGAAATGGTGTATATCTACATTTTTGGGCATAAGACACAAAATATCATCAACATATCTGAACCATTTAGCTCTATTATGGAGGATTGTGTTAAGCAACCTTGTTTCAAAAAATTCCATGTATAGGTTACTAAGAACAGGTGAAAGAGGATTTCCCATTGCCATACCAAACTTCTGAGTGTAAAACTTATCATTAAATACAAATTTTGCATCAACAATGCAAAGTTTAATAAGTTTAATGATAGTAGGAACTGGCAATGGTAAATCATAGTTAATCTCGAACTAAGATTAAAACAACATAAATATAGCATTAGAACTGGACAAGATTCCAATGCTCTATTTATTCATGTAAGAGATTTTAACCATCCAATTGATTTTCAAAAAGTTGAGAAAGTAGTATCAAGCAAGTCCATGGTGGACAGGAATATAATTGAATTTTGTTTCATAAAAAACAGTTTTGACAATAATATGAATATTTCCTTTGGTTTATATAAATTAGATACATTTATGATTAACAGAATTTGGGAAGAATTTAATAATACACTGGACAAATAATAATTTTTAAATTTTCTTGGGTAGAATAGTTTGTGGGTGAGTTGTGCAAAGGACCTATCCAAGTTGGGTCGGCGCGCGTCAGGTGTTTAACCGTTGTGGGATCTGATAGTGAGGTGCTGGCCAGACCCCTTATATAGCTTCCTTGGATGCTTTACTTTCATAGTTCCTTGATAATGTGAGTAGCCACGAAAGCGCTTGGAATTTCTCTATTCTTTCAGAGTGTTTTTTTTGCATATATATATATATATATATATATATATATTTTATATATATATATATATATATATATATATATATATATATATAATATATATATATATATATATATATTCACACATACATCATAACGTTTAACGTTCAACCCAAACTTCCCGACTTAAAAGATTTATCAGTAATAGTTTCGCCAAACCACGCGTGTATTTATTTTTGATATAACCTCGCAGATATGACTCGCAAAATAACAAAATAATATATTCTGTTTGCATACTTTATTTTAGATTATAATTAGGATTTACGGTTTGAAAGTGACTCAATAATGAATAGAGACATGCAAGGTTAAGGCAGGACGAGAAACTCTCGCAAGCTAAGGCTGTATGTATGCACATTGTTCAACAAATTCCTTGAGATAGCCCATAAATATGAGTAATGTTCCTCATGGGGCATGGGGAAGGGTGAGGGCGAGACTGGGGCATGAGTGAGGGGGGAGAGACTGGAGAGATGTTGTTCAAAGTGAAGGTGGGTGAATAATATACACGAGAGAAGAACATGAACCTGCCATCTGTCTCCTTTCATCGCTAACAAGTGTACCACCAGCACAGCCGCTTCTCTTTCTACCTCCTCTCTCTCTCTCTCTCTCTCTCTGGTTCACCAAAACCCTCACATTTACCCCGACAAAATCAGTTTTCCTGGAAACCACACACTCCATAGCATTCCCAGTGGTCATACAAATCGACTATAAAACATTCGATAATAAAAACCAAGCTCATAGTCTAAAAAACGAACAGAAATATGACAATGTTGCTAAGGTGTTTATTACCTGTGAAGACGGTGTGGTGGGTGTCAGCGCGGCGTCGAGCAGTGCTGCGATCTAGTGTCCGTGGTCACAACTATCTATCATAACACCTATCACGAGGAAGGAACAGAATATAAACAATGAGAGGTGTATAGCTCTCAGCATATATATATATACTGAGAGTTTAATTTAATCTCTAATTTAGCGATTACGTATTCTTGACTGGTGGCGAACAGGCTATATGCTGAACAGGTTATATGTTGTATACTAACGGCCCCTTCCAAGGCAGGCGAAACTGCAGATCTGGAGAACACAGAGAACTTTCACTGCATGTATAAGTACAGTCAAGCACCTCAATTACTGGGACCGTTTGAAATCCCTTGACCTGTACTCCCTGGAATGCATGTGAGAAAGATACATCATAATTTACACCTGGAAAATCTCGAGTGACTAGTCCCAAATATGCACGCGGAAATCACTCCCTATGAAAGCAAGACTCGGCAAGCGGTGCACCATATCCCCAATCAAAAGCAAGGGTGTCGTCAGTACACTAAGAAATAACACAATAAGTGTCCGCGGACCAAAACTGTTCAACAGCCTTCCACCAGGCATAAGGGGAATTACCAATAGACCCCTATATGTCTTCAAGAGGGAGCTGGACAGATACCTACAGTCTTACCTGACCAGGTGGGCTGTAGTTCGTACGTTGGATTGCGTGTAGCCGGATGTAACAGCCTGGTTGATCAGGTCCTGATCCACTGCGAAGCTTGGTCTTGAACCGGGCAGCGGGGGCGCTGACCCCCAGAACACCGTCTAGATACAGATCCTTAATGACCCTAGTGTTGCCGATAGGCTTTAAACCCCATTAACCAACCAACGAAGGAGGACAAAGCTCTATAATACCACATGAGACACCCTCATATAAGGATATATACAGTAAGAGGAGTATATCTCTTAATGACTTGTTATATTCACGGGACAGCGCTGAACCAGTAGTAACAACGCTAAAAGACTACACAAAACCATATTTTAGGAATTCAAGCACCCTTGACTGGTGGTGCACAGGTGACAGTGCAACATTAATAACCGCTGCCTAGTCGATAAGCTCAGTTTGAATCTGATAGCTTTATTATGCACCCCATACCCATCGTGTGGGCTTTACACCCAATAAATCGACCAGGATCATCATGGAATGCACTGGAGAATAGTGAAGACACGATGCACTACGAATTTTTATTGGGACAACGTTTCGCATCTGTGTTGAGCTGTAGCAAGTAAATGACGAAGCTCTACACGGAGAGAAACGTTGTCGCAACAAAAACTTGTTGTGGAATATGCGTCTTCTCTTCACAATAGACCAACCAACGCGGTGAGTTACAAATATAGGACAAGCAAAGGTCGGCTATTAATTTACTTCTTTATTTTCCCGTTTAACGGTTCGATTCTTAGTTTCTTCCTTCTACGACCTTTCTGCGCGTGTTTTCTTTCTCTTAGGAGTAAATTACAACTTCAAGACTAAAACTCTTAATATTTTCATCAGTCCTATATTAATATTTTTGTTACTCTAAATTGCAAAACATTAAAAAAAATGTTTTTGTCACAGTTAAGAGTCGGATTTATAACTTAATTACGTATTTCGGGGCCGTAATCTCCCTAAAGCGATTTATCAAGGAGTGATTTTTCTCTTGTATTATAGAAGGGAAGAAAGATATAGGAGTCAGAGTTGAGATATTGATGTCAGAATAGGAGAGATGGTGTCAGAGGAGAGATGCTGCTTCTTTCTGTAGTAATTCAACGTCCAGGATTGTTATTGGCTGCGTAAAGAAACTCACTGACTAAATTTATTTTGTTAATCAGGTTCGGAGGACTTCAAGATTCACAGTGAGTAATCCAACAGGAGTAACGACGAGTTGTGGACAGGTATACTTAAGACTTGATGCTACCATAAACACACATGCACACACTCACACTTACGCTCACACACATACACCACCACACACACACACCACACACACACACACACACACACACACGTCACATTAAATGTATCATGGCAGAATAATGGAAGACATCACCTGGACTTGATTGACAGGTCGAGGGAGTGATGTATAGCTGACAGTGATGATAATGATGCTGATAATAGTGACGCTGATGACAGAGGAGATGCTAATGGTAATATGATGGTGATGGATGATCAGTTTGCGGTGATGAAAAAGGTGATGAGTGCAATGGTGATGAGTTATGAGTGTGGTGGCGATGGTGATGAGTGTGGTAGTGCTGGTGATAGTTGGTGAGTGTGATGGTGATGAGTATAGTGGGCATGATGAGTGTGGTGGTGATGATGAGGGTGGCGATGATGAGGGTGGTGACAGTGACAGTGGTGATGGTGACAGTGGTGGTGATGGTGACAGTGGTGGTGATGGTGACAGTGGTGGTGATGGTGACAGTGGTGATGGTAACAATGGTGACAGTAACAGTGATGGTGGTGACAGTGGTGGTGACAGTGACAGGGGTGCTGATGGTGACATTGGTGATATTGGTAACAGTGATTTGAGTTCACCTCCGCCACATCCAGTCACTCCTATCATACTAACGAAAGGCTCTTAATCCAGGGAATTAGAGCGACCCTCCTCTTCTTTGAATCAAACCTGATTACACTGTGGTATTATCCAGTATTTAAACCAATCTCACGTGTGCGTGCGTGCGTGTGTGTGTGTGTGTGTGTGTGTGTGTGTGTGTGTGTGTGTGTGTGTGTGTGTGTGTGTGTGTGTGTGTGTGTGTGTGTGTGTGTGTGTGTGTGTGTGTCTTCACCTGCAGCAAGGAAGAACAGCACAACACAAGTAGCATACTGAAGATGATATTATCACACTGGCTGTCAGCCAGGGCGGGATGGATACACCCAAAGTGTATCTATATGCAACTCTTGAAATCGTGAAGATCGCCTACCTCTACTGTGAACCAGCACACTCACTCACATGCCTGCCGAGTGCTCAGCCCTTACCTCTTAGTATGTTTCACACTCACCATGCAACACTTAATTGGACCCACACCCCGTTAACACACACACACACGTCAGTCAAGAGTGAAGGTGTGTTGCTGCTGTAGCTGAAGATGTTGCTGCTACTGCTGCAGCAACATCAGCATCAGCAGGCACATTATTACATCTACTTCGCGTGGTAAACTATAGTTATCACCGCCAAACAGTGTTCCCCAATTACAGTCAATATCTTCTGTACTGCAGCGTAAAATACGGCATTTTTCACATTATAAATTACAATTTGCATAGAGATATCAGGAAATAATGCATGCACAATGTGGGTCTTGGTGACAGGACAACGGCCAATTTCCGCTCTAAACAACACGATGGATGGACCAACTCCACCCCATTACACACAACTCTTTGTTGTCCTGCCATGTTCTTCTCCCAGGCACAAATCATCTGATAAACTTTTTGTACTTTTGGCGTAGTGTGTGCTTATACCATCGAAACACATCTCACTCCTCTCAAACACACCCGATTTTAAGGGGGGGAGTACTGGAACTGTTATTGTCTACACGTACTGTTGTTAACACACTCGTCTGATACCAATTTCATTCTTTGATTACACAATTACGGACCCAATGCACATATGCTATTCAACACTACTAATATTCACCAAGTTGTGTTTTCAGGGGAAGAGTTATAGCTGCAGACGTAGCCGCAGAAACACTCACTGATGAATTAACTGATTCTTGACCTCTAGAGCCCGATCATACGTTCTTGGAAACATTGAGAGAGAGAGAGAGAAAGAGGGAGGGAGAGAGAGAGAGAATCTTGCTTGGGACCGGAAGCAGGAGTCTTATAAACGACTCTAATATTTTAGTCTTGAGTGAGCTCAGGAATATTTTAAGAGAAGTATTTGCTTGCTTAGTTTCCCAGGCTAGACTCGTCCACGGGATAATTATCTGTCTCACACTCTATATTGTTCAATGTAGTTTAATATGTCTCGCATGTCTTACTAGTGTGAAGACGTGGCGCAGGTTTAAAATGTCAAAACTCTTCATCATAGTTAACCTCTTTCTCAGTCTCTACTCTCTCTCTCTCTTTATCATCCTGTCTCATGTATTACAAAATTGAAAGACAAACACAAACATCTATTTTTTTACATATTACACTAATTGATTTTATTAATGTTCTTGGAAACCTGCTAAAACAGCCTCACCCAATGTATAATATTAAAAATTATATAGAATGACGACAAGTTGATTAGTAAGACAAATGTGCAACAGTTGGGTATCATTATTGCTGAAACGTTTCGTCTACACAGTAGACTTCTTCAGTCATATTGACGCCTACTGTGTAGCTGAAACTTTTCAGTAAGAAAGATGAACAATTGTTGAATGTGTCTTACTCGTCTATCCTCACCCCCCTCAAGAACCAGGTAATATATCCTCACCCCCCGTCAAGAACCAGGTAATATATCCTTACCCCCCTTCAAGAACCAGGTAATACATCCTCACTCCCGTCAAGAAACAGCTGAGATATCCTCACCCCCGTCAAGAACCAGGTAATACATCCTCACTCCCGTCAAGAAACAGCTGAGATATCCTCACCCCCGTCAAGAACCAGGTAATACATTCTCACTCCCGTCAAGAAACAGCTGAGATATCCTCACCCCCGTCAAGAACCAGGTAACATATCCTCACCCCTGTCAAAAACCAGTTAAGATATCCTCACCCCGTCAAGAACTAGGTAATATATCCTCACCCCGCGTCTCGAGAACCAGCTAAGATATCCTCACCCCCGTCAAGAACCAGGTAATATATCCTCACCCCCGTCAAGAACCAGCTAAGATATCCTCACCCCCGTCAAGAACCAGGTAATATATCCTCACCCCCGTCAAGAACCAGCTAAGATATCCTCACCCCCGTGAAGAACCGGCTGATATATCCTCACCCCTGTTAAGAACAAGCTAATATATCCCACCCCCGTCAAGAACCAGCTAAGATATCCTCACACCCGTCAAGAATCAGATAAGATATCCTCACATCCTTTAAGAACCAGCTAAGATATTCTCACACCT